TGTGTGTGTGTGTGTGTGTGTGTGTGTGTGTGTGTGTGTGTGAGTGTGTGTGGGTGCGACAGTAAGCGTGGGTTTGTGTTTGTTAAGGGGATATTGGTTTATACACCTGCATCAACTCCTAAACAATAGTAATGCTACAAGTCCATATGAGTAAAACAACTATAGATATAATATAAAACCTCAAACAAGGAATACACAAACACTAATAATACGTTTAATTATCTTTTGAAACATTTTATAGAGAAACAATAATTCCCAGAAATTTAGTAGATGACCCTTGAGGCATCTCAACAGACTCAATTTTAATTTTATTTTAAGTTAATCCTTAGAGTATGATTATTTGCCACTGAAAATAATAACATTAGGTATTTTTGTATTCAAAGACAGTTTATTTAATCTTAACCATGTAGCATAGGCAGTTCAACCAGCATTAGCTTCCATAATCAGTGAATGAGAGAGAACTAGTGTTGTGTCATCTGCAAACATTATCAGACAAATGGCTTGCAATAAAAAGTAGCATACTTTAAATTTAGTTTTATGAAATAGAAATACTCAAGTAAATACAAGTACATGAAAATTGTAATTGAATAAATGTACTTAGTTGCTTTCCACCTGTTAGACTCGCCTTGACCGATCGCCTCTCTTTTTGTTTTACATCCAGCAGGGCGAGAAACACAAGTAAACCAATGAGAACAGAAACTGGGACTGAGAGGGAGTGTGTGTGTGTGTGTGTGTGTGTGTGTGTGTGTGTCCAACATCCTACCAACAACACACACACACACCATCTCCATGATTACAACTCTGACTCTGTAAGTGTTTCCATTTGAACTCGGTGGATTATGTCGTTGACTTTAATGTTCCCGCAGGACTCGGAGTGTGAGTGTGTGTGTGTCTGTGTGTGTTGGATTAGTCTCTATTTGAAGTGTGAGGTCTGATCTAATCTGCAGGTCGCTGTAAACAGATGCAGTGATCCTGCCCGTCTGAACACAGTGTTCACAGCCAACGTTACACAACACCCCCACACACACAGCCGGCTATCACAGTGATTCATTCTGGCTAACACCACTGCTTCCTATGGATGAGGGTGGAATAAAACACAAACATTATAATTGACGAGATTAACCCGAGAGTCCACTGGAGGAGCCAGGTGCCAGAGATGTCACAGGCCACGCCCCCTCAGTTTTCTGCCCCAATTGGCACAGCCACAGCTTCACTACACTGTGACCTCACTGCCACTGCTGCACCAGTACCACACTGCATGTTTTATTATTATCTCAGCCAGGAGATAATGTATTTGGCAGTGTGTGTGTGTGCATGCATATCTGTGTCTGTCCGTCTGTCCACGGCTAATCTCACATACTGCTGGACCCATCAGCCTAATATAAGTAATAAACAAGTAACAAGTATTGGTTTAATTACTTACTACTTTTTATGTATTCATTGCATGTATATAATTCCTGCTTCTGCATATGCTTTGTCAGTCTGTTTTGCCAATGAGCTGATTTGATCTGAATTAAGAAAGAAAAGGGTGTCTCTGATATTAAAGCTGCGTTTCTTCAGAAGAAGCAGCTCGCTGCTCGCCACCGGGCCTCATGTGTTGTTTTGAGGCGGCTGACAGGTCGAGTCAAAACAGATTGAGCGAGGGAGGAAGACGGAAGAGAAGGAGGACGAGGGGGAAGAGGAAGGCAACTGGTGCTGCTTGAAAAAACGACTCACTCCAGAGCTGCATCCAGGAGTTTGGACAGAAATGGACGAGAAACATGGAGATCATTAAAAACACAGATCAGGGTGGAGGTGTTTTAACACGCTGCAGCGCAAACAGATGGAAGAGATGGTGTCATTTTTAACATATTTATATTCATTCCAGGCAGAGGTTGCAGGGGATTTAACCAGACATCACTCAGACAGGCTTGGATGTCACTTTTACCTTCACACATGTACAACCGCCATATGGTTATTATACTTACCATAAGTATACTACTACACTGGCTCCACCTACTTACTTCCCAGGATTTATCCATAAATATATATATTTTATTTTACTACCATTTAAACACTGTTCACATGCTGCATCGTTTAATGCCTTTCAGATTTTTATTATTTTCATTCTATTCTAATCTTTATTTACATATTTGTATGAGCTGTATGAGCTGCTGGAAGGAGCCTGAGAACTAATTGGATTTCCAACAACTGCTCCTGTAATCGTAATCAACTCACTGGCCTCTTGACTGCCGTTTGCTTAGAAAACTTGCCCCAAAAGCTTTCAGAGAAAGACTTAAAAAAACAAACAAACATGCAAATACAAAATGTATTGTATTCACCAAAAATCAAAAAAACCACACACACACACACACACACACAGTCGACCCCGACCTCAGCAGAGTGAACCGGCTGTGTCGGACTGACCCAGAAAGCCGAGACGCGGCTCAGATCTCATTCATTTTCAGGGATTTTCAGCACAGATTACAAAGGCTCTACCCCATTTGTTTTGTAACAAGCATGTGAAGTCAACACTAATACAAACGCCGCGGCTCTGAACTTCAAAATGCTGGGGGACCTTTCTAGAGGCTTAGGGCCGGCGAGCACATTCACCGCTCAGGGAGCAGAAGCCACGCTAAGCTCCGAGGGCAAAGTACTTCTTTGATTGTTTGTTCAAAATCTCTTCCAAAAGCCACAGAACAAAAACAGAGGACGGATTATCCTCTGTTGGAGAGGAAATGAAATTCTTCAGAAGAGGCACTTAAACAGGTTTCAGGATGAATGATGGGAAGCTGCTGGTTGGGTGGCTGTGTGTGTGTGTGTGTGTGTGTGTGTGTGTGTGTTGAGGGAAATATGAGTGATGCACATTTGCTTGTTTCGTCAAAGATTCATTCAAATAGTTATTTATTGAGACTAAAAGTGTGTTAAAGGCTGTAAAGGGTTAGAAATAGACGCCTTGGCCAAAAGTATGTCGACTTTTAAATATATGAATGAGTTGAACATGCCTTCATGCTGCTCTAACAGCCTCCAGTCTTCTGGTTTCAGGCTTTCCACCAAGATTTAGAAACCTGACTGCAGAGATTTCAGCCTGCCAATCATTGCCGTGTTCTCTCAGGTACAGGTGAGACATGAAATACAAACTAGGAAGTCCAGAAGATCTGTCAGTTTGAAGGTCTATCAGACGCCAACATGCACCACAGGAGTTGATAATCCTCAAAGTCTGGATTTTATAACTCTGGGAAGTTATCGCGGCTGGAACTATTTCATCCTTTGAGGCAATGATCGCCAGATAAACAGCAGAAACAACTCAGGTTACAAAGTAATCGAGCAGGAATGCATGCGTTTGATTGGCCACATTTTAACAGATGATGCTGCTGCTTTGTGGTCTGGAACAAGTTGAGTCTGGTTCAAGTGTTTGCTAGCAAGCAGATATAAACAATAAGTATTTGCAAATGTTTTATGAAGAAAATGCATTGGACATATTTGATACACAGCTTTAACATCTCTTAGCGAAGGAGTTCAAGTGTTTTTTTCCTAGCGAGCATCCAGTAATGTTTGGCACTTCCACAGTCGCTGCATCTTTATCACATTTTGGAACAAAGCCCGTGAACATCCAGCTTGTTAACAGACTCCTGGGAAAACAGAGAGCTTCCCTCGGTGACAAAATGCGGCGGATCTTCCTCCCCTCGTTAGATTTTAAACAAACCCAGTGATCAATGAGTACTGGTCCGGAAGAAAACGGGGAACTCGGGCTTATTAGAGTTTTTGGAGACCAGGCGGGTCCTTCAGTAACGGGGTCAGGAGTCTATTGGCCTACTAACACGTTGCGACTCAAAGCTGTCTCCCCACCTCAGCCTCACATGGCGGCCCCGCAGCGCCGCCCATTCATTTGAATGCTTCCTGGGCTGATGAGGATGCGTGAGCGGCGGACTGCGGGGCCAAAAGACTAACATGATTGCAGGGGACAAAATAATGACCAGACACTTCAAAGTTGCGAAAGTGTGTCATACATTATTATGCAAGCAGGACAGCATGTGGCTGGAACAAAACAAGGGACAGAACGTTGTTGGGTTTGTGCGCTTTGCCAAAAGAGGCGTCGAAATGAGCTCAATGGGACGATTGCTTGTTATTTAACGCTTTGGTTATTAAGCTGCTTCTAGGTTTTCTCTGTTAACGCAACACATAGTCAGCTCATCTCTGCTCCATGGAGCTTCATAGTGATTTTCAGCTCAGCTCGAGAAAGAACTTTATTGTTCTGGTTCATCCTCATAGCGCACTGTTCACTAGCAGCTCAGCAGACACCGTCAGAGAGCAGCTGGTGACCAGAGTGGAGCATTCAGCAGCTAAGGAAACATATTTCACTCAGGAGATGGTAGAGACAAAAAAAAAAAAGAGCAAAAAGAGGGTGAATACTTTCACAATTAAATTACAACTTCCTGGGAATATAGTAGATCACTCTTTTCTCAGGATTTCTAGCGTATGTACATGAACATTGCTTTTAAAAACACAAGTGGGTAATTCGTGATAAAATGTAATTCATTATAATTTTGAGGTTTTCTTTCATATGCAGAAGATGATGTTCTACCTTTTCAGTAGAACAATTTCTCTAAAAAGTAGAGACGTTTTTAGGTGAAAAAAACAACCGAATAGCTTTTAAAGTATCGCTTCTGTGTATTTATGAGTGTTTTTATTGTAAAAGGCAGGGAAGAAGCATGCGTCCATTGTGGCATGTTGAATCTGTGGTTTGAAGTACCGAGTATTGTTCTTGGATGTTTAGCTGTAATATTTGGTTGATCTTCGTTCACAGATTTTGAACTCTTTGACACAGCAGCTGAGTGGAAGCGTTAATGTTCGGAGGTGTCTTTGTTTCTGTGCCAACTATGGGAGCACACAGGTGCACTCGTGTCAAATATCTGCAGGTATTTTTCACGGGAGACTTTTGGAGACAACACTCCCGGTTACAGCTCCCTGTATTCAACACGTTTATGCCGAACCTTAGTTGATGTACTTACTTGCTGATCAGCTCTGTCACGAGAGACGGGAGATTCCTCTTCACAACAGATGTTGTGAGGTCGGAAGGTCACGTCAGGCTACGCTGAGGGGAAGAGGTTTCCCATGATGCCTTGAGGGAGCAAGGAGATGCTGCAGGAGCAGAGAGACTCATCACACACTGATGTAGATCAGTGACGCCTGGAGAAGCAAATGATTACAGAGAGGGCGACTGAAGGCACCTAAATATGAGCACTAGTTTGTACAGAATGTGGAGGGAGCGATCTACTCTGAAAGCTCCATTGAGTCTAAATGCATCAGAGTTCCTCTTCCAGTCTCGTTTCTGCTGATTTCTAATAGTTAAACTTCTCAGCGTGCTGTGATGAACAGGTGTACTCCAGGACTGTGACATCACTGCTGGGTTTGGTTACAGCTGCACACTTTTCTCACATTCAACAGACTTAAGTTGCTCTTTAAATTAACATTTGCACTTTTTTTTTTTTTTGTAACTTCAGGCCGTGTCGCAGATTTAAAGATGAATTACGTTTCATTCAGCAGAAGAGAGAAAACGCCAAAGCTCTTAATAACGGTCTCCGTCCTTTTGAAATGAACACACATGGAATATGTCTCATTAGGGCTGAGTGTTCTTTATTTATTCATCTATCTAAAGAGCATTTCTCCGACTCGTAACTGTTGTGAAAAAGCATCATATTGATCACCGATGTAAGAATTCAAATAATAAATGTGTTTTTCCCCCTGAATGTGAGAAAGGCACCAGAAACCTGTGACAAATGGATAACAAGGAATAACTGTTGTTTGACACCCAGCTCGAGTTCATATTAAAAAACATAAATAAAAAGAAACATCCCAGTCAAATATACACTCCCAGCAGAGCACATGAAATGCTCCTCCCCCTGAAAAGGCTCCGTGTTTAATGACGAAATAAAACAGATTCACAGTAATCCAACTTTTCTTCACATTCCTCCAAATTCCACTTGAGGAGATACAAAGATGTGAATGTGTCTGGAGGAATAACACAAAACAAGAGAGTCTGAGGAGAACGTTGTCTGCAGAGCTGCTGCTAACCACATGCAGGAACACTCGGTAACATTCAGTCTGCAGACACACACTGAGGAACAGCTCAGTCAGTCGCTGAACAGAAGACGAACCTGCAACAGTTTTGAGTCACATGAATCATTTTTAATGCAAAAAAATTGGATTAAAAAAAAAAAAAGAAGAAAGATCGTGTTGAGGAATGTTGGTCGTACAATTTAGGAAGTTGTGATGTGCGTTTTCAAACATAACAGAACAAACAAAGCTAATATTTTAATAAAAAATGAATTGTTTACTTCAAACCCTAAACGTGCAACGATCACGATGATGTTAACTGTGTTCGTGTTTCACTCTGCGTGAGTCTTCAGCAGCAGCTCTGTAGACAAAAAGGTGAAATTAGAAGTTAAGAGCAGAAGAAAATAAATGTAGTTTTATACCAAACATAAAACGTAGATGAGGAGCAAATCAGCACATGAACATGTTTTTGTTTTTAACACAATATTCATGTTTAAATGCTGGTCGAGTGGCCGTCAAATACTCGAGACACTTTAAGGCAACACTTACACTTCAACACACCTCAAAGCTTTAGAAGATGAACTGGAAGTTTTACACCATGAATGAAAGTCTTCTTGATCACCTTCCCGTTTTCTAAATCTCCCTCAATTCTTTTCTCCTCTTTAACATCATCATTAGTAAAAGACTAGGAGATAGGAGGTAAGAGTGCTGTCACCTCTGACCTTTGATCTCCTGTCTGGGAGGTTTTTACTGTCAATGATTTGGATTCTAGTGTCCTTTAAATGGCTGAAATGTAAAAATGTAAAACTGGATTTTTGTTTTAATTCAACACTTTTTATTACCTTTCTCCAGAAATGATGTTTGAAGATGTTGCCACAAAACGTTTCCGAACAGCGTTAAGAAAATAACCGTCAGCCTCCCATTGAGGATGTTTCCGAATAAAAAAAACAGACTCAAACATAACAAATCCAACCACAGTCATCCGTTTGGTCCCCAAAATAAATACCACAACATCCTCGCCACCTCTCTTCTAAAGTCAGGGGCGGCTCACACTACAAGACTTAAATCTAAAGTTACCATCTTGGTGTCACACTGGGAAGTAAATGCTGTAGCGTCGGCCATCCAGCCTGGACAGGAATATAAATCTCATCAGATTTAAATATCTGAACTGAGCTGTGGACAAACTTCACCTTCATCGTGAGTGAAAGCGTCTGGAGGGGAGTTCTAGCGCTGCACAATCACGGTCGGTGTTGTCTGTACTGCGACTGTGAAGCCAGAGGGTTGCTGGTTCCAAACCGGAGCGGCGCCGCCGACCCTCCGAAGGCAGTTCTGTAAGGCACCCCGCTCGCACCCAGTCCGAACCCTGCTCCGAGTCCCTGCGCTCCGAGTCCCTGCGCACCGAGACCCTGCGCTCCGAGTCCCAACCCGCCACCGGGCCGCACCAGACCCTGACTCAGCATCCCCGTGTAGGCAGACGCTCCGTAGGGGAGTCCCAGGCCTCCGTAGGGCCGGTGGGCGTGGTGTCCCGGGTTGGGGAGGACCACCGGCTGCACATTCCTCCCCGGTGTGTCGAAGGCGAACTCTGGTGGAGGGCTGCTGGGTTTGGAGGGCGTGGAAGTCAGTGGGTCCATCTCCCCTCCTGAGGTCAAGAGCGGAGGAGGCATGGAGGAGGAGACGGTGGCGTAGCCTTCAGGACCCAGAGGGGGAGCAGAGGAGGCGGAGGAGAGGGTCCCGGTGAGGAGCGGTCTGGTCCAGTCGTCTTTAAAGATCTGGACGGTCAGCGTGGAGACGAGCGGCAGCAGCCGGTTGGTGACGTGAGCCAGAACCAGCTGCTCGTTGGCGTCACGGCGGATACGAACGTGTGCAGAGCCGGCCTGAAACAGAGAGGTGGGGGGGGAGCACACAAGATAAATCAGTAAAATATGGTTTCGCATTTAAGTAGCTTCAAAGAGATCTAGTTTAAGAAAATGCAAATAAAGTCCTTCAGACTTTCATTTGGCTTCTGAGATTTTAGTTTGTACCGACATATTTCTGTTCTTATTTGACAATTCAAGACGGAATAAAAGAAGATGTCATCTTGGTGTCAAAGTTACCATCTTGTTCCCGACAAATGATCATCTTGTGCACACAAAATGAAACTATGATTTATTTCAGGAGTTTGGGGAGGACGTTTTAATCCTGGGCAAAAAAAAAAAGCAAAAAATATACAAATACAATTAAGTGATGGAAGAATTTAGCCTGTACATGTATACATGTAAATGGTGCACATAGTGAAAAATTAAATGCAAATTATACTGTGAAGTACTGCAGCTATGGATCGATACTATAAAGTAGTTCAGCTAACTTCCTAAAGACTAAATGTCTCATTGAGAAGGAATTGAAGCGCAACATCAGGAACATTTGAGCTCAAAAAATGTCATTTATAAAAAATGATGACATGATCAGGTTTTATAAATGTTTTTTAAAATGTATTTAAATGTTTTTTTTAAACACATCTGGTTATGTAATCATCACAATAACCTTCATCACAGCACGTCTCAATTCAACATTCAGCCTTTGACCTTAAAACACAAAACTGAGTCCCTCATTTTGTCCTTGCCTGCTAATTTTAACATTCTCATACAGACCTCAAAATGACAACACACACACACACACACACACACACACACACACACACACACACACA